AAATCAATAAAGCTAATATGGGCACCAGGCCACTCTGATATCCATGGTAACGAACAGGCTGACAAATTAGCCGGGTCAACTGGCGATCTGGACGTTAACATAGTTCGTACAGATCTCAGGTGTTTTGTGTCTCTTATAATAGCAAAAATCCATCTGTGGCAAAGTGAGTGGAACAAAACAGTAATAGAAACGTGGGACATAGCCAGCAGAAGAAATAGAAGAGAAGAGGTGGTGTTGGTGCGCCTGAGGACAAACGCCACCAAAATCACACACCATATGTATAACAAAAACTTTTATCAGATGATGAAATAATAAAGTAATCGCTTTTCTAAGGGAGACAAAACTTTATGACCTTATATAGATTGATATAATGAATAGAATCCATTGGCTTAATAACCTTGGTCACGTGCCGCTGGTTGATAGCCAAGAAATCCAACAAAGAAAGAAAGTAAACGTGGGAAGAGAGACAGGGGGATTAGGCTTGTCAGTGAAAACGTCCTAGCGGCCCCATGTACACCCGGAAGAAACTAGTGGCAGTTTTATTTGTGTCTTTTTTGTCGACGGTTTGGATGGCGGTAAGATGGGTATTTTACTATTTTTTCATAGTATAAAACAGTGCTCCGAAGTTTTATTTTTTCTTGTTTTAGATTAAGGTTTTATCGTTCGTTCGTTTATTTTTACTTTTCGTTAAGTTTTTGGGTTTTCCCTTTTGTAAATAAAAGTATTGTTTGCAGTTGTATTTTAACGTGTTCTTTTTATTTTACCAATAAATGTTTTTTTAAGCTTCGCGAATGAAATTCCTCATTTTTAAATATCTAAACCTTTATATGAAACCAATGATACCGTAATTTGGCTACCTGTGGCAAGGAACTGACTACCTTCCATCAGCCACTAAAGCTGACACGCACTCCCCTCGGAATTAACCACGCTTACCAGACAGAAACCTTTGTGAATTGAGTCATTTCTTCCTTTTCTTACACCTACACACACTTTCCTTTTTTTATCTCGTTACAGTCTTCTAGATGTTTCTTTCTTTCGATACATTTATTGTTCCTGGACGTACTAACCAGGTGGTGGGAGCAACAAAAGGGTCATTAAGAGTACTTAGTAGAGATCACTACAGTATGACAAACAAGATTAACGTTCATTTTAACAATAATGCGATAAACTAGCAATGGAAATAATACGAAATTATTTAAACTACCACACTGAATTCATCATTTAATGATATGCGACAGAATTACGCACTAATGAGCGGTGACGTGAAAATAATCGCAAGCTTTCTCGCAAGCAAATCTTCTCGGGGTCAGCAAATCTCCCGAGCTGCGAATGCAGACTTCATCGTCGGAAGGTCTATACCATAGGTGGGCAAACTTTTTGGCACAGGGGCCACATTGACTTTAAAAAAATGACACACAGGCCAGATCAGCACCAGATGCATACATATTAAGCATAAACATAAAAAGGAATTACAGAATTATTACATACATTAACTTTTAGTAGGAACAGTGTTGTTGATCACCCGTTTTTGCCAGTGCATCAAAGTCCGGTGTTGTGGTAATTCTCAGAACAGATCCGAGGTGTCCATCACTCAACTGGGATCTGTGGGGTGCTTTGTTGATGTTCATCACACTAAAAGTCTGTTCACATACATATGTAGAGCCAAACAACACCAGCATCCTCTGTGCCATCTTCTGGATGTTTGGAAATTTGGCTGCACTTAATGAAGCATAAAACTCATCCAGTTTAAGAGAGTTGAACTTCTCCTTCATAATAGCGTCACATTGGAGATCAATCAGTTCCAACTGCAACTCTTTTGGCACTGTTTCAGGATCTTGTGTGAAGGGGCATGAAACCAGCTGAAGTGACGTTAATTTTTTTCCAAAATCAGAGAACCGCCGGCAGAATTCTTCATACAGGTCATCCAGTGATTTCCTATATTTTTTCACATGTCGAGAGGCCTCTTTCAGTGTCGCCAGTGTGGGGAAATGAGCAAATGACTTGTTTGACATTTGCTTTGAGGATAAGGCGAGCTTGGTTTTGAAGGCTCTGATGTTTGTGTACATATCATGGACAAACTGATATTTCCCTTGTAGCTTTACATTCAGCTCATTCATGTATGTCAGTATGTCCACAGCAAAAGCTAAATCACAAAGCCAGTCTGTGTCACTCAGCTCAGGAAAATTGTCAGCTTTCTAAAGTAGCTCCAAAAATGAGGTAATCTCTTGTTAGAGTTCCCACACTCGTTGACACACTTTCCCAAAACTTAACCAGCGGACATTGGAGTGGTAAAGCAAGTCTTGGTGATCGGTGTCAGTTTTTCAAGAAACGTAATAAACTGACGATGCTCGAATAAAGTTTACAAGTTTTACAACTGGCTTCACTACGTGGTCAAGCTGCAATACAAATTTACACAATGCTTCCTGGTGGATTATGCAGTGTAAGAAAATTACTTCCTGCTCAGAGTTGTCCTCTTTCACCCGGTCCTGGATTCTTTTGAGCAATCCGACGTTTTTTCCCGTCTGATTTGGCGATCCGTCTGTGGTAACATTGGCGAGCGTACTCCAAGGTAGCTTGTGCCTTTCCATTGCCGCCGACACTCTGTTATACAAATCCTCTCCCCTCGTTTTCCCCTTCAAGGATTCCATGGCCAAAAACTCCTCTGTTATCTCAAAATTGTCATTAATCCCTCTGATAAAAATTAAAAGCTGAGCGGTGTCCTTTATGTCGTTACTTTCGTCTAGTTCCAAGGAATATGATGTAAATGACTCCGCTTGTCTGTTTAGCTTGCTAGCTAAATCTTCGTCAATTAATTCAACACGGCGAAGGACTGTCCTGCGTGATAAGCTTATTGTTTTCAAATTTGTTTTTGCTCTCAGGGCACAAAATAGCTGCTGCCTTTACCATGCACTCTTTAAGAAACTCCCCTTTGAAGAAAGTCTTACTGGTCTTTGCTAATTTGAACACTAGTAAATAAATTGCCTTCGGGCTTGATTCTTGGATGGAAGTTTGTAGGGTAAAGGTGTTTTGCTAAGCCTACCAATCTCCGTGCAGTAGCTGTCTTTTCTTGCGTTGACTGGTTGTTAGCATAATTAGCATGCTTGGTGGAAAAGTGACGGCTGATCTTGTATTCCTTAAAAACCGCAATGGTTTCTTGACAAATAAGATATACAGCCTTTGACCAGACTTCCGTAAAAGATATTTAGTTGTCCATTCCTTATTAAACACTCGGCACTCACTGTCGACTTTTCTTTTCTTTGGCCCACTCATTGCTGCAGATGGGTTCAGAACAGTAGCAGAGTAATAACAGTAGCCCGGGCTCTGCAAAATCAGGTAAATGTATCACTGCGCCTAATGTGCCACCTGGTGGAACGCCAGGCATTATAGGAAAAGGTCAAATGAATGTTATCACAATTATATTTGATTTGAGCAATTTCGTACCAATCTTTGGCGGGCCGCGTATGTGGCCCGCGGGCTGTAGTTTGCCCACCCCTGGTCTATACTAAAAAATACCGTAGTATACGAAAATTTACAAATAACCCACTCTTTTCTGCGAATCTATGACGACGCACGTGACATGCCCTACGAGTATCTATAATGAATCACACGATCGCTTGGGATTTACCCAAAATATTCCAGTTACTTCTAGAGGGTGAGAAGGATGTGATGAATAAGGGAATAACGATTCTAGCTTTAACCCTTGTCCTACATTAATTAACGGACGTAACTGTGGGTCACACCGACTCAAAAGTTGCCGATCGATGAATAACTTCGGTTTTACCTGTACCTACTATCGTAGCGTAGAGCTATTAAGCGATTCACGCAACCCCGGAATATATCAGGCATCCCTGTGCACTCTGATATGAGGAAGATTCTAATGCTATACTCAAATTAATACATTTATATGAAATCGCGTTACAAGCTCGGCCCTAGCGTCCATAGAGCGTTGGCACCATTGAGCATTGTAACGATGCGATTGTGATTTGCAAAGTTCTAGCTTCGCCCGGGCCTTCGGCTATGACCCGGCCTGCGTCAACTTTTTAGGGCTGACTCATTTCATTCTATGACACTCGGTGCTTACCGTGGCAGTGGGATTGCCAGCAGGCACTCCTGCTGCCACACGGTAAGCGAATCGCAAAGTCTCTTTACCAGCACGGCGGCTGTTGTCGGGGGTCCCTGTCTCAGGAATTGTGTGTATACACAATTCTCTAAGTAATGTATAAGTATGGCGTTCGGCTCGCCGCAATTCATGCAACACCTCTCTTCACGGACAATGGTCTCAATTATCTGCCATTTACAGTGGTAACCTAGGCGCATTCTGTGGAGAATGACTTCGGTTTGTCTGCTTTTTAACTCAGAGAGTGCCAGAGGTTCATAGCCTTGTAACGATGCTGCGCGTATTCCTCCGGCGCAATTACAATTAATTAACTAATGGGAGCGAGCTGTCTCTCAAGCCATCTCACGTGTCGACTGACCAGAAATGAGAGAAAGTGAGGTCAGGTCACCCAGCTGCCCAGGCGGGTTCCTTAATAATGACTGTCACACCGAGGTCAGGTCAAGGCGGGAAATGCGCTACGAGAATGGAAATAAATGATATGATATCTGCGATGAAGATAAAATCACGAACGCGTTGAATTCGTTGCAGCTGAAATAATATAAATATCTAATAACGAGGAAAATTAAATAAATACTTGATTAATGAATGATATTCATGTTTGTTGACTACACAGTAATGCGATCTAAGGTCAGAAGAATAGTGAGAGAACGTGCCATTTGCTGTCATAGCACTTTTACCCAACAAAACCAACGTGAGAGTGACTGCACATACGGCTTAACACATTTATGGGAGAAGAAGGGAAGAAAAAGAAATGAAGAGGCCCAAAACGTGTACTCACCAAGTTTTGAAGACAT